CTTTATCTGAATATTTTAGCAATGAAAATAAATTAAATCAAAGCTATGCCTAAAAGTTACGCTGATTTGGATCATTTTTGGCCTTTGGGCATGCGCAGAGCTAAGTCTTCTCCCTTGAATATTGACCATAATTTGACCCACTGAATCCAAGCACCCCTGGCGGCCATGTTTGACCAAAACTGGGGATGGATAGGATTACTTTGGGGGGATGCTGATAAGCTAAGGGTTAATTTTGTATGTCTATTTATCATATCTAACCTGTGACTCAAGGTCTTTAAGGTCTGAAACGGAAAACTAAAATGAAATAAATATGAAAATTTTTATTCATGAACTTAAAAATATGATGGCAGCCTTATGAAAAAGTACAACTTTAAATATAAAGCCCTTTGTCTATATTCCAGTTTCCTTTTTTTTACTTTTAGTGTGAGTTTGCCGTCTCTTCAGTTGTTTTTAACAGTCAGACTCCAGTCCGATGTCCTGCGTCCTGTGTTGTTTGTGTCCACGTCAAATCCCTACCCCTGCCTAGCCCAAATCCAGCTGGTGACGAAGGCAATTTGCATTTGAAGGGGTCGTGTTAGCCACTGGGTGACAGGCATTAAATAATTAACTCGCATTCAACATTTACACGGGGAGCAGGCGGAGTGGGAGTGGCAGGGCTCAGACAATGTCAAGTAATCCCCAAAAGAAAACATTTAACATACGTAAGTGGCAATTGAATTAAAAACCAATAATATCAACCAAAAGTAACGAGCGCAAGGAGGTGGCAAGAGGGGCGCTTGTAAGCGGAACATGTGTAGAGATATTTATTTAACAAACATTGAGAAAATAGCAAGGGCGGAGTCGAAGGCACGCAGAAAAAGTGACACTGCAAGAAATTAATATCAAGTTGATATATCAATGGTTCCCTAAGAAGTCTTTTAAGTCTTCCAACAGTTTGAGTGGATTTAAAACCCTTAAAAGTTGTAGATTTTCTTCTAAATATTCTCAATTAGGGTAACAAAAATGTTTTAACACTTATAAAAGACAAAAGCCCTACTATAAAGTACAATTTCCTCTTAGCATTTCCCACTGTGGAGTAAAAAAAAGCGATGAAAAAGCATCAGTTGGGGGGAGGGGGCAAAGGGTCCGGCGACAATCGAAATGCGAATGGAAAATCAAAGGTGAAAAGATGTGAAAAGCAAACGGAACGTGCACGGGTAGCATTTAACCACCCGCCCATTTCCCTTTTCCCTTTTCCCATTTCCCATTTCCATCTCCAGTTCCACCTGCAACTCATGGGTAAGCCGCTGCTGAGGCACACATGACGTATTGGCAGGCGGTCCCTTGCCCCCATTTTTCCGCTTTTCCGCTTTTCCTGCTCGCAACTCCGGGGCACTTGAAAGCCCGGGCATATCTTGATTGTTTGCATGTAAATCTGCACAAAATCCCCAAAGTACCCAAGTACCCGAAGTACCCAAAGGAAGACACAGATTCCTCCCGCCTCTCCCCTCTCCCTTAGAACGATGATGTCCTTGGCGCATCGCATCGCATCGTATCGCAATCCCTGGCACAATTGAACCAACTAGAGTCCTGTGAAAGGAGGTGAGCCGAGTTACCAGTGTGCTTATTCCAGGTGTGTTCCTCCTTTGTGACTCAGCCAAGGCGCTGCAGGTGTCTTCTTTATTGCTCAACCAGCAGAAGGAATTATTTCTTGTTTGGTAAAACAATAAGTAAGTTAAGGGAACTTTATTGGAAACCAAATGGGAAATTGAAAAATCCGAAAAATAAATTCCAAGGAAATAATGATTAACGTGGAAGTTACTCTATTCAAGAAGAGAAGTAAAAATATTTCTTATATTAAATCAAAAAAAATTCTTGAGTTAACCTTAAGACAGCCATAAGGCTTAGCACCATCGCAAGGTCCTTCAAACCGAAACCTTTGGGACTCCCTTCGAGGGGCCTCGTTTTTTCCCACATTGCGTGGCCAATTTTCCGATTTCTACAATTTGCTGCTGCTCCTTTGGCCCCGCTTCCTCTGTTGCCCATTTTCCATTTCCCTGCAGTTTTTTTCTTTTCGAACAACTACCTTTATGGCAGCCACGCCCACTGCATTTATTGGAATTTCACAATAAACTAGCGTGGAGGTGCAGAGTGCAGAGAGCAGAAAAAAGGATGTGATGCTCGTAGGCCAAAGCCAAACCATGGCATTTGTACAAGTTTTTGGTTTGGCCGGGTTGGCTTCGTTTTTTATACCCGTTACTCGTAGAGTAAAAGGGTATACTAGATTCGTTGAAAAGTATGTAACAGATAGAAGGAAGCTTTTGCGACCCTATAAAGTATATATATTCTTGATCAGGATCAATAGCGAAGTCGATTGAGCCATGTCCGTCTGTCCGTCCGTCCGTCCGTCCGTCCGTCCGTCCGTCCGTCCGTCCGTCCGTCCGTCCGTCCGTATGAACGCTGAGATCTCAGGAACTATAGCAGATACAAAGTTGAGATTAAGCATGAAGATTCTTGAGGTCCCGGGACAGCGCAAGTTTATTACAGCATCCTGCCACGCCCACTCTAACGCCCACAAATCGCAAAAAACTAAAATTACTGAAATCATAGGAACTATTGCAGTTAGAAAGTTGAAATTCAGAAAGTATAATCTTTAGATGACAGCGCATCTTATAGTAGTACTACTATCCGGCCTCACCCACCCATACGCCCACAAGGCTCAAAAGACGGTTTTCGGATTTTCTAGAAAAGCTGATATCTCGGTAACTATTCGTAATAGAAAGTTCGGATTAAGCATGTAGGTTTCTATGATGCTCCCAATGCGAATTTTTTTTTCCGATCAAGCCACGCCCACTCTAACGCCCACAAAATCCGAAAAACCAAAAATGCAAAAATCTCAAAAACTATAAGAGCTACACAATTTTGCTTAGAAACACATATTTAGTAGATGCCTCTGCAACTTGCCACGAAGTTGCATTAGGCCACGCCCACTCTAACGCCTACAAACCGCGGAAAACTGTGGCGTCTATAATATTATTATGAATGCCTTTGCTTGACCTTGTATAACTTATTTCTGTTAATATCTATCGATTTGCCAAAGGTTTTTCAAATCGGAACATTATTGCGCTATTTATGAAGAAATTAAGGTTATAAGGCCTCACATGGGAAGTGACGTCACTATAAGCATACTCAACATACTTCCTCTGACAATAGGTGGCGCCTTGTGAATTTCCACTAGCAAAATTAATATTTTAAAATTGTGTAAAACAGTAACGGGTATCTTATAGTCGCGGCACTCGACTATAGCGTTTCCTCTTGTTTTTATTTACAGCAGCAGAAGCAGCAGCAGCAGCAGTAGCAGCTTTAGCAGAAGCCCCTAAGGTCCGTTTCCTTTTTGTTTTTTTTTTTTGCTTTTTGCGAAGGATGTAATTAAAAAAGGGCCAGAGCAACAGCATGGTGGTGAAAAAATAAAACAAAAAAGAGGGAAAAAAGAGCTCGGGAGCTTGTAAAGTTTGCAGCACACGACACTCGAAGTTGCGACAACAGTCGTCCCCCTTTTTGGCCCGCCCATGCCATCCCTTAGCCCCCCTTGGGTGCCAAATCGATGAGCTGCTCTAACGATATCCATAGCTCAAAGCCAAATCTCGGCACAAACAGGATATACATATGGCTCGGCAGTCAAAGTCAATCCTTCGCCCAGGACCACCGGATCCCCCGGATCCCCCACCGGCCTCCCGCACAGGGATTTAGCCAGCCATGTTGTCGATGAGGCCGCATCCGTTGCGACTTGGGTTTTGTAGTCAAGTCAGCTCCTGTTTTCCCTTTTGGCCACCTCGTTCGCTCGCTCGCTCGCTGGATTTTTTCCTCCTGCCTTTGTTTCTTATCGAGAGAGTCGCTTTTTTTCTGCGGCTATTTTCCCAGTGATATTGAGCCGGCTGGCACTCAAAGGAAAGCCAGTGCCGGGGCTTTGGCCCCCGATTTTCCGCCCATTTCGCCCGGCAGTTGCCGCCTTGACGTATTCGGTTTAGTGTGATTTGTATGGATGAACGGGGCAAGTGGGTGGATGGGTGTTGTTGAAGCTCAGGCAAAATCAGGCATAGCGGGGACGGCACGTTTGCATTGCGATTTTATGCTCAAAAACGACTGGCCATCAAACGGAGCTGAAAGTGAAACGCTTAGTCCCCTTAGTTTCCCCACTTTTCCACCAGCATCCCAATCCCAATACCCGGGACTCGCATTCACTTTTTCAATGGCCAGCAATGGGAGATGGATGTGAAGACAATAAAAAGAAGAAAGCAGTAGAAGTGCCTTGAACAGGAATGCTGTATCTGCATTCTTGGGGTACAAAGTGTTTCCACAGCGATCTGAGTCCTTGAGAAACTCCAAGTACCATAAATAAGATGCTGATTATGTCCTTCTTACTACTTACTAAAATATGTAAGCCTTTTAGAAATATAATAGACTCCTATCCTTGCTTTTGAATTAAAAACAAAATCATCTTGAAAAGTCATAATTAAAAGGGAAATCAAGACCAGAAACTTGCGAGTCCCTCACCTCGGCAACTTGCCACTCTGACCCTTGGCATTTGCTGGATTTTCCTTCTCTTTACATTCTCCCCCACACATTTTCCAGTTCAACCCACTCGCCTAGCTCAGAAATGCGTTGTTTTTTGTTCCGCTCCCAATCGAACAAGTCCCAGGGAAATGCAACATTCGTTGCTGATGTTGCTGCTGTTGTTGCACTCGCATCCGTTACATGGCGGCTTATGTGTTGCCGGTTGTCGGTTGTCGGTTTCTGGTTGTTGGTTGTTGCTTGTTGCCTGTTGGTTGTTGTGCCTCGTTATGATTTTCCTTTTTGCCTAGACATGCACTCCGCCCTCTCCACAATACACAACAAGGGTATACTTGCTAAGGCACTTAAAGCAATGGCTAAAATGGACTAAAATTTACTATCAGATGCTATCAGATTGTTATAACACCTCAATATTAGAATTAATCAACCTAAAAAATATTTAATTAAACAATTTTTTTTTGTATTTTATTAACACTTTGTGATTTAACAGGCGTAAACAAACCGATTCATGGAACAATCGATTGCAGGGAAGGGAAAAGTTTTACTTTAACCAAGAATGTGCGGAAATTTTAGATTAATTTTTTGGTTTATGGAACGGGGAATTATCTGGAATATGAAGTGCACATCCTACTTGTCGAACCGCCCCGAATGGAGGGCGTGGCGCGTCACAAATGGCTTGGCCTTCGGCTTGCGCAATTCCACCTCGTTGGCCAGTTCCTTGTACTTGTCATTGATGTACTGCAGCCGCGAGCTGCTTACAGTGTGGCGTCGACTTAGTGGATTGTGGTGATGGGCTCGAGGGAGCGGCACCGTCACAGGTTTCTCCTCCTTTTCGACGTCTAGTTCCTCGGTAGTCGAAGGAGATTCCCCATTCTGATCGACAAACTGCGACTTAAAGCGCTGCGAATCTGCGGGGATAAATCGCATATGTTGAGTAAGTTTTTGGCCTTAAAAAGATTGGACACTCATACCATAGCAAAGCGATTGGATTATCTTTTGTGTCTGCAGGACAGATCGCATCTTGTACTGCCTTAGCATCCTGCAAGGTCCGCCAGTTGGCTTCAAGTTAATATTTATGAGGAAAATATACGCTTGGGTGGACGGATTCGGTTTGAGTTGATTTTCTATTCCCTTGCCGGAGAGTAACTGGCGGCGTGGCGTGCTTTTTGTCGATTTTTCCGAGGGGAGAGTGTAAAAAATGAGTTTGCCAGAAAGTAAAAAGTGCACCGTGAAATGGAATGAAATGAAATGCCTGGCTGTGAGTGGAAAATCAGAGCCTCCTGACACCCCCAACCCCCCTTTAATGGCATCCATTTCCATTCTCCCACTTTTCCCCCCATTTCCACCACCCCCCACCCAGCTCACCCTTTGCATGCATATTTATAGTTCCGCTTGTTGACAAATATCGCGCTCTGTTGACTGACGGGAAATTCATCGGCGGAGCGGGAAAAGTCGGGAAAAGGCGGAAGCTGCACTGATTAGAAACATAGTGTGGTGTCCTCGCTGAAAAACTGGTGGCGGTGGCACAAAAAAAGCACGCACACACGGCCAGTCCGAAAAATTGCAGAGGCTAAAAATCCCCGCAGTACCGACATGCCCACACTCTTCGATTATTTGGCATTTTGTCGGGGATCAAGAGTTTGCAGTGAAGAAGTGCTGGAATTTAGAAAATAACTCGGATGAATTGACTGCACCTCTGATGGTTTTTTCAAGTCTCATCCCTGCGAAGTTCAAAGTAAGTGATGGTAAAATTCATTCGAAATATGCAAAAACTTGGTATTAATAAGATGAGAGAGGAAGGATGTAGCATTTATTATAACGATAAGTTGAATGAATCTTCGCTTAACATGACTTTGAATGAAAATTTGAAATGGACTTTGAGAAAACTCCCATTCCCTTAAGGCTGCCCTTGTTAAGCCTTAAATAAATATGGGATCTCGGCAAAAAAAGAGCATAAATAGTTCGTTGTTTATGGATTTTTTTTTGGGTATTCTCTAAAAATTCACTTGTCATGGGATTGCATGTCCTAGAGAGAGTCCTTTTTCCATATTCCCCCTTCCTACATAAACAAATCCTGTGCTATGAATACAAAATGGCAGCATCGATTGGGCCAGCTCGAGCCGCATATTCCAGCGATTGAAATATTAATGGGTGGCCATGGATATGGAGAGGATAAGGGATACGGGTACGAATCTGAATCTGAATCCGGATCGGAATCGGGATCGGTTCTGCCGGTGGCAGCGCCGGCGCTACACTTGTCTTTGTTCAGCAATTTGTGGCAACAATTGGCACAAAGGGCGGCGCACAATAAAAGCCACCTAAGACCACTACAGGTTGAATGTATGGCATGTGTGGACTCACATTTCACATTTCACATACTACATTTCAGATTTCAGAATTCAGATATTGTTTGGTCTGTATTATATTTTCCATTTTCTGGCTATTAGCATTCGGCTAAGCCGCACTTAGGGCTAATATGTATGTATGGCCCGAGAAAGGATTCCCTAGACTGGCTGTCTGGGATAATCCTTCATCGGGCGATCGTGCAGGTCCTTTGTTTGGTCTCCTGTGTGTGCCATTGTGCAACCGACACTTGTCCAAGCGGCCAGGGAATCCGAGCATTGGGAACACACAGTCTGTACAAAAGCACACCCGGCCACAAAGGACCTGGCAGGATGCTCGATGCTTAGCTGGATCGATCGATAGCCCTTTGTCCTTTCGCCGGGATCTCTACGCGATCCACTCAAGATAAATTAGCCCACAAAGTGTGTGTAAGCTTAGCCCGGGGATTAGTTTCCATTTCGGGGGTTTGAGCGCGGTTCATGGTTTTCCTTCATGTCCTGCTTAGGTAGGCGGGCGATCTCAGACGGCGTGTCTTCCGGTTGATAACTGCCTGTATATCTGCTATACCCATAAACGGGAGTTTGGATTAATTTTGGACACTGCCAAAAACCAATTTCCATTTCTAATTTAAATTTTGATTAATTTTAAAGGGCTGCGTACTCTACTCTACTCTTAAGGTTGAAGTATGTAATGTATTGGATGAGAATGATGTAACAGGCTGAGAGGAACCCTCTCTGACCCTCTATAAGGTATACGAATTTTTGATAGCAACGTGAATTTAGCCAACTCCTTATGAATACTGAGATCTCGGGAGCTATAAGAGCTAGAAAGTTGGGATTAAGCCTGTGAACTCAGCAAGTAAAAACTGAAATATTAAGAAATAACCTTATTTTTGCGGTATTTTCGCTAGTTGGCGCGTAGTTCTTGTTTTATTCGTCGCATCAGGTCATAAATGACACCTTTTTGGAAAGCTCATTTCACGCGCTAACCCGTGTTTGATTGATTGTATTTTCTTTTAAGTCGTTCGTGAGTTATAGCGTCGAAATCATGGAGCAAAATAAAGAGAAAATACGGCATATTTTACAGTACTACTACAATAAAGGCAAAAATGCATCTCAAGCCGCCAATAAAATTTGAGCAGTTTATGGAGCCGATGCAGTTTCCATTTCCACCGCACAACGATGGTATCAACGTTTTCGTTCTGGCGTAGAGGTGGTCGAAGATGCGCCACGCTCCGAGTTTTTTGCCAATAGGGAAGCGAGCTTCTTTGAGAGGGGCATTATGAAGTTGGCATCTCGTTGGGAACGCGTCATCGAACAAAACGGCGCATATTTGACTTGAATAGCATTGTTGTAACCAATTTTATGAACAATTGAATAGACATTGATTGATGGTCAATGGTCAGGTGTACACCACTTGGAGGGCTTGACGGTAAGCTTAAAGACCTTTATTTAGGTAAAATTCTTTGAATTTTCTCCTTCTCTGTGTCCCTAGAGTTATCTCTATCCACGAATAGTCCAACGACTAACCTATAGTCCCACGTTTTACCAAGGCCAACTTTGATTATAAATCTTGGTAGACTTGCATCTTATCATAATCATGGAAAAAAGGGCCCTGCCAAAGAATATTGACTTGCATATATTCAACTTAAACCAACAAAATCAAAAAGAAATATAATTATCCTAAAAAATCAAGATTTTTGTGTTCTTCTTTAAAATAAAATCATATCTAAGTTATATACATCTTAGCTTTCCAAAAGTATCCAAGAAAGGAATAAAATATATACATAAAGAATCCTATGAATCTGAATAAAATATCGAAATGATGTGATTCTGAAAGAAAACTCATGTTCCTTGGCTAATGGAAGCCCTTCGAATATGTTCCTGAGATCAATAATTTGCGAAGTTTGCCTGTTTTTTTCTTCTGGAACACCGAGGGCAGAACGAAAACTCTGGCAAACAGAAATTGTGTACATAAAAAATTACAATACAGAAAAGTTTATTACGAGAAATCCATGAAAATCAATGGAATGCGAGTAATAAACAGAGCGCGCGAGGGCATCGCCGAGCTGGGGGGGGAGGCGGAGTGCAATTATTAAAATAATGTCCACAGGCCATTGAGTTCATAACGCGAATGAGGCCGCAATAAAATAAATAAATGAAGAGGAACTTGTCCTCAAATGAGGCATGCAAATGTCGCCAGGCGAAACAACAAAGGACGAGCTGGCCTGGTCGGGCGAGGGGGATGCCCCGCATTGCCCGGATCCGGGCAACAACAGAGTCATCAGCTCTATCATGGCCGCGTCCTGGTCCATCCTGCCCTGAAATTTATTAAAAACAAAGAAAATAAAGCGAAGAGCGGGAGGGGTGAGGAGAGCCCCGGCGAAAATAACAATATCCAGAGGGGCGGCGACTTTGGATGGTGGATTGCCCGATTTTCGGCCATTGGCCACAGCTGTTGGCCTGATAGATTAAAGGGCGGCCAGCCCCAGATATTAAATCTGGCGTTTTTTTCCCCCGATCCCACATTCCTTGGCCACGAGAAGATTATTAAAGAAATCAGATATCCGAAAAGGGGAGGAAGTCCTGGAAATATCTGGCGGTGTTCCTTAATTGAAAGCACGCCTGAAGTTTGGGGAAGGACTCTCTTCGGTTGTTATATTTATTTGGTCTGCACTTCAGTTTTATTAAGTTGATTAAGTTATCTCAATCTTACAGAATTTGTATTCCTATTTCACAAAACTCTTTCTCAAACTTAGCATGTGGGATTACCCTTTAAAAATGCCTCTTCAGCTCCTTTGGTAATACTCAAAATGATAAGTTAAGTCCCCTTGGGCCGTCTAAACTCAGCCTGAAACCCCTCGTATGTGGACTTTCCCACAGAAAAACCATTAAAAATCATTTGACACTCTTGCCAATAAATGTTTTTCGCCAGGATTAGCGTTGAGGAAGTGTGACTGTGACCGAGCCAGTTTCAGTTCCAGTTTCAGGATCACCATTTAGAGGCTGACCCCCGGGCAAGTGCTGAACCCGCCAACCCGCCAGGCCAGTCGAGGGGGTGGAAAAGTGAAAAAGTGGAAAAATGGCAAACAAAAAAAAAAGAAAAAAGAACGGCAGAGGACAAAAGTTGAGAAGTTCAAGTGTATAATTTCGTAACAATTGGGACAGTTTTAGTGCTTCGCCGGAACGGAAAAAAAGGAGCGAGGTTTTCGGTGTTTTTGGTGTCGGTGGTTGCTTCTGTGTTTCCATTCCATTTTCCGTGCCCCATCCCGTTGAGTTCCCATTCTACGAAACTTAAATGCGGTTTCGTGTTACACATGTGCGTCTAATTAGCGACTGCTTAACGATAACAAGGGGACGGAGGTCCTGTAACTAATATGCCAGAAAATTAGGGGAACGCGCGTCCTGTTAACGAGCATGAAATTATTATCGAACTGCGATTAATGGGTCCTTGCAGGATGTGTTGGGCCAACACACTTGTCCTCGGATGTGCTAAGGTCAGGTCACATTCACGCCTCAAGTGCCCTTTGCCCCGCCAAACGGTCGAACGAGGTGACCTCCTGCAACACTTTTCACACGAATTCCGGCGCCACGGCCTCAAGTGCACTTCCGTCTGGGATTCTCCGGAGATTTGAGAAAAAACAATATCTCTGACCCGCAACAGCTGCTCGAATTTGTCGCCTTCCCAAACTACTTAGCATACATCGTATGTGTGTGGAACTGGGAACTGGGATTCCGAGTTCGGGATTCCTAGTCCAGGATCCAGGATCCGGGATCCGGGGGCTTAAGCAGCCGGATTGACTTGGTCGGGGACTGGTGGGGCAAATCGGATTTGAAGCTTTGGGCGTTAATAATTGGGACCCCGACCGCTCTGATAAGTGAAAAGCTGCCGCCGGCCG